ACCACTATAGTTCAGGCTCTTACTCATATGGATTATTAAAACAGCCTCCTAATAATCAACATGCATTTTTTAAGGATCTACTATGTGCCAGGCACTGTGTTAGGAAGGACAAACAGGTCCATTTCCTAAAAAAAGCATCCTTTCTATATGGGGAGATATGTACATAAATAAGCATATCCCAAATATACACACAATATGAGTTAACTTTGAGAGGAAGGCAGTAGCAGCTCAGGACCAGTATAGGTCTCATATAAAAGAAAGACAATTTTCTACAGCATAAACAAAATCAGAGGACTTAGATTCAAATCCTATCTCTTTCCTTTATTACCCTTGCAATCTTAGCTAAATCACTTAATCTAAGGACTCAGTTTTCCCTGAATATAAAATTGGGGGTTGGATTAGATGGCCTAAAGTCCTTAGAGCTCTAAATCTATGATTCTAGGATCTTTTCACCTGCATTCTCTCTGCCACCCCTCCCCCCCCATCCTTTACAGACACCTCAGGCTGCACCTTCCACATTTATCTGATCATAACATTCTACTCAAAAAATCTTCAGCATCTCCCTATTAGTCACAGCTGGCCTAATCTGATATTACTTCCCTCCAATGTACTCTACATTGTAGCCTAATTGTACCCTGAATATACCCTATACTTTTCCATATTGTTCATGTTGATTCCTATGCCAGTAATGTCTTCCCTCAACCCTCTTCACCAGGTGAATTATTATCCTTCCTTTAAAAGTCCTTTTCAGATGGCTTCTCCTCTATGATACCTTCTTTGATCCACCCCACTCAAACATCACAATAAGCTTGCCTTGGGCTTCATATATCACTGTTTTGCACCTCTCTAATGCACTTATTGTGATACACAATAATATAGGAAATGTCTTATCCCACTCTGGTCTATAAATTCTATCTCTTGGAGTGACACTCCACCTCACTCAAAACAGATGCCTGCATTGGCCATGTTAAAAAATGTTTGTCTCATTCTATGTGTTGAGTCCCTCACCTATCAGTAGGTGGGTCACAGGCTTTGTCTTTGATCCCACTGCACTAATCAGATAGAAAGTCTTTCAAAGTAGCTTGTCTTTTCGATTTTATTGTATAAATTGTTCTCTTGCTCCTTCACTGTGCATCACTTCATAAAAGTTTCCCAAGTTTCTCTAAAACTATCCCTTTTGACATTTCTTACATCACAATAGTATTCTATAACATTCATATACCATAATTTCCTCCACAACTGATGGGCATCCCTTATCTTCCACTACATAAAAATGGTACTACAAATTTCCTACAAAGGCAGCTAAGATGGCTTAGGGGATCAAGTGATGGATTTGGAGTCAGAAAAACCTGTTCAAAATCTCCCTCAGATGCTAGCTTTGTAATCACAGACAAGTCATTGAAACTCTATAAGCCTCAATTTCCTCATCTGTAAAATGGGGATAATACCTTGTAGGACTGTTATGAGGGCCAAAGAATATAATAAACATGAAGCAGTTTGCAAATTTAAAACCTTATTTAAACACTAGCTATTATATGGGTCCTTTCCCTCTCTTTGAGGTATAGGTAGGCCTAGTTAGGGATATCAGGGTAAGCATAGTTTTGCAACCTTTGGGGGTGAGGCATAGTTGCAAAGTGCTTTCCAGAACACCTGGACCAATTCACATTCCACCAATATCAATGGTCCTGTTTTCCTAAATCCTTCCAATCTTTGTCATTCTTTTTTTTTTTTGTCATCCTTGCCATTGTGATGGCTATGAGATAGAAGCCTAGAGTTACTTTAATTTGCATTTCTCCAATTATCAGCGATTTCGAGCATTTTGCTGGCATTTAAGACTCATCTTAAATCCAACCCCTTGGGATTTCCCTTTCCCCAAGCTGCTAATGTCCCTCTGGCATTACCTTCAATCTAAGCGTATTTGCCTCATACTTATTCCCAGCTAGTCTCCCCCATTAGATTAGGATCTCTTTGAAGGTAGGAACTGTTTTTGCCTCTTTTTTTTTGTATCTTTAGGGCTCAGCCCACCACAGTTTGGCGAGTAGGAAGTGCTTGATAGATGCTTGTTGACTGTATATCTGTCTCCTACCTAGGACAATGCCCTGCACACAGCTGTTTAATAAATATTTGAACTAAACGTCTATTTAATGCAACTTGATACAGTTTACTGCTCCTTTTAATGTTTTGCTTTTTATTATTTTCATAAATGTCTGAAGACGGCAACTTTGCCAGACTGCAACCACCTTTCACATGTCTGCCTCTTGATTTGGTCTGTTTCCAGACATACGCTTCCCATCCCTTCTATGTACCACAGAAGATAGAGAAATTTGAAACAGGAAGTAGTTTTGCCTTTGAATCCTAGATCCAAGAGAGGTCTGTTTTTTAATTGTCTTTCACTTTATTTTCTTCTGTCCTCAAGAATGAAAATGTGTTTTGTCTCAAAAACAGCTTATTTTAACTTATTTTTTTTGTAAGAGTGTTTGCTAAAATGTTAATGTCTGATTCAGATGTAGTGATTGCTATAGACTTCTTCACATAAAATTCTTCCCCAAAATCACAGTGTTTAGGAATTATTTGGGGGCATAAAGCTAGATATCTTTATATGAATATTTTACCTTAAGCATTTCTCTTTTTCAATTTTTTGGAAAATGGGCCTGGTTTAAAATAAAACAAAACCCTCTACCATTCCCACTCCTAACCTCCATCTTTTTTGATCCTTAAATAACCCTACTTCAACTCCTTTTAACTAGAGGAAAGGAGGAATGGACTGCCAATAATGGGGTGGGGGGGTGGTGGTAAGGCTTGTAATCCCAGTTTTGCTTCTTCTTCTGTAAAACAAATGATTATTTAGGCCTGGAAAGGATCTTAGCGATCACTACAGCTAGATTTAGCTGGAAAGGAGAACTTTTAGTTCAACTCTCCCCCTACCATAGAAGTTAAGTGACTTGCCCAGGGTCACACAAAGTAGCAGTAACAGGGGTGAGATTAGAACTTGGATCTTTTCATTCCAAATGAAAGATTCTCCAGAATATCACACTGCCCAACACACTTCATGTTTAATGAACCAGACCCTTCATTTCTCTGCTCTCGGCATTCTCTCTGACCGTTCTCCATGCCTGGAACACTCTCCCTCCTCCACTTCAAGTACTGACTTCCCTAGCTTCCATTAAGTCTCAAATAAAAACCCAAGGTCTTCAGGAAGCCTTCCCCAACCCCTCTTAATTCCAATGCCTTCTCTGTGTTAATTATCTCCCATTTATCCTGTCTATAGTTTGCTTTTATATTTGTTTATATGTTGTCTTTCCCATTAGATTGTAAACTTATGGAGGACAGGGACTGTCCTTTGCCTCCTTTTGTATCTCCTCCATTTGCCCAGTGCCTGACACATAGAAAGTACTTAATAAATGTTTATTGACTGACCTATTGTCTCCTAGATGTGGTACTTCCAAAGAGCAGGAGCCTGCTCAGACTAGCTGGGGAACTGATTATAAAACTTGCAGTGTGAACCTCGAAAGCTACAAATTGGGGCTTGATTTGTTGTCGTTGATTGTCTAGACTTATGAAAATGATAGAGAAAACGTTATTAATTCAGGTTAAACTTTTAAGTGTGCTGTGCATATGACATCTTTTTTTTTTTTTGAGAGCTGTTAACAGTTCATTCTATGATTCTTAACAAGGCAGGTCACTGCTTCCAAAGCTGACCAAAGCTAGAGGCTGTTTGCTTGGCACAGTGGCTACTTCCTGTTCTTTACTAAGGACACTCTGAACCCAGGGAAGAAGGTAAGGAGTCAGAAGAATTGTCCCACATGCCCAGGAAATCTGCTGCTTTTTTAATTGATTCCCGGCTGCTATCTTTTCCCCAAATCCTCCTCCACTGGGGAGTAAAAGAAGAAAATAACTGTAAGTTGGCATTTGCTACTGGCGTTCAGTGAGAAGTTCATAATAGCACCATAGTGTTAGAGCTGGAAGGGACTTCGGTCAAATCAACAATCATTTTATTAAGCACCTGTGCGTACCAGGAACTAAGCTAAGCCCTGGGGATACTCAGAAAGGCAAAACCAATCAGCCCCTGCCCTCCAGCAGCTTACAATCTAAGGCAAGCAACTAGGTGCAAACACTATATAATCAATGTTTTTGTTGTTTAGTTGTGTCAGATTCTTCTTGATCCCATGGACCACAGCATTGCAGGCCCTTCTATCCTCTACTATCTCACAAAATCTGTCCAAGTTCACTCTCCTTGTTTCCATGACACTATCTAACGATGCCATCCTCTGCCATCCTCATTTCCTTTTGCCTTCATCCTTTCCCAACATCAGGATCTTTTCCAGTGAATCCCACCTTCTCATTATGTGGCCAAAGTATTTAAGCTTCAGCTTCAAAATATACACAGAATAATGACCCTCAAGTTCAAATCCATTTTACACATGAGAAAACTGGCACCAGGGAGGTGATGAGCCTCTGTTTCTCTCCTCTACAAAAAAGCAATGTCTGATTCAGAAGCATTTTTTGCTGTTGATGTCTTCACAGCAAACATTTCCCAACTTTACAATTTTTAATTACAGCAGCTACCTCTCAGGGTTGTTGTGAGGATCAAATGAGATAATACTTATTAAAAAAGCGCTTAGCACAGTGCCTGGCACATTTGTAGGCTCTGTATAAACGTTATTATATCGTTAGGCTTTTTATTATTGTTGTTGTTGCTGTTGTTATTGTTATTAAATCATTCCGGAGGAGTAAGGCTGCCTAGGTGGCTCTCTAAGAATACTTTTATCTTAAGCATTGTGAACCTTTATCCTAAAAGCAAAATTCATGGTCAAAGTCGCTATTATTGGACTGCGGGTGGTAGTTTCTCGCAAGATTCCCTTGGGGTCACTCCTAGCCCCAGGCTCCCTCGTTTTGTAGATCTAGAAGTTGGGGTTCGGATCGCGGGGGCTCGGCCCCGTGCACCTCCCTCCTCAGCCCCCCATTCCGCAGGTGCCTCCCTAGAGCCTCGAGTCTTTTACCTCCGCTGTGCACTTGGCGATCTGAAACGGGATGCCCTTGAACAGCCCCACCACCTTCAGCTGAAGGACCACCTGCGGCGGCTGCTTCACACTGGGGCAGGGGTGAGGCACCGTCGGCTGGCCCGGGGGCCGGCTCTCCATGACCCCCTCCTTCGCCGACCCTCCGGAGGGCCCGGGATGCCGCCGCGCGCAGAGCTCGCCGCTGCCTCTCCAGGCCGAGAGACCAAACAGAGAGCCGTCCCCATGGCAACCGCGGCGCCCGGAGAGGCTGCCCCCTCCTCGAACGGAGGGGGCAGCCCTAGAGCGAGGCACACCAAGAGCTCTTTGCAGACGCTTCCCTCCCACCCCGCAGTGGTCCGAGGCGCCCCGCCCACGCACCCTCACATGACACTTAGGAAGGTCCCCAAGGGGCGTTTATTCACACCGCCAACTTCCTATTTTGTTCGGCTCCGGTCTCCCTTCCGGCCTGACCGCCGATCGGTTTCCTCACCCGGCGGCGATCCGCACTCCTTTCCACTGAGAGAGTTGGGGGGGGAAGGTTCCCTAGATGGTTGCCTAGGTAACGAGTTGGCGAGGGGGCGGGGCCGAGGGGCCACGCGCGCGGGCCCCCAGTGGGGGCGGGGGAAGGAGAATTCGGGGAGCGCGAGCGCGGAGGGGGCGGGGGGAGCCCGGAGCGCGCGCTCTCGGTTCCTCCCTCTCCGGGGCTGGGCTGGGGGCGCACCCTGCGCGCGCGCCGACGTCTCCTCCACGCCCCCCCCCAAGTCTGCGGCAACTCGGCGCGGCCCCGACAAGGCACCGGGTGCGGTGCAGACGCGGAAGGAGGAGGCTCCGAGGGCTCCCGCGGAGAGGGGTTCGCCACGGTCCCCCTGCTCCATCCCGCTCCGCAGCGTGCTGTGTCTCGTCTAGAAGCTGCCAGAGGTCACTCCTCGGAGGAAATCGGGCTGGGGAGGGAGCATTTCGGTCATCTAAAGGGGGGATGGGTGCATGGGGGGGCGGGCAGGGTCCTACTGGAGCGGTGGAGGGGGCCGGCCACCTGTGTACTACTCCCGCCCTCCTCCTCCTCCGCAGGCTTGGCAGGGTCTTTGCACGAAGTCGCCGTCCTAAGGGAGGTGCAGGGAGATCGAGGCAGCGCAGGTCCTGGGTCCTAGGCATTCTGTCCTGCCAACCATGGAGTCCGAGTCTGGCTCCTCCGTGCGCTTGAAGGTCTTCAACCTCAACTGCTGGTGAGGGATGGGGGATAGGCTGATAGATGTCCTTTGTCTCTAAACGGTGCAAAAGCCTGAGGGTGGGGGGGTGCACAGGAAAACCTGACAGATGTAAATCCTTTGTTTCTGTGGGATGCAAAAGCCTGGAAGGGGGGGGGGGGTGGGACGGGCATAAGACCTGTCGTGTGTATATATATATATCCTTAAAAACCGTATTGGGGGGTGGCATAGGAACACCAGACAGATGTAAATCCTTTGTTTTTTCGAGGTGCAAAAACTTGGATGGAAATGGGGGCGGGGCATAGGAAGACCTGACAGGTGTATCGTCCTTTGACTCTTCGGGGTGCGAAAGCCTGGATGGGGGTGGGGTGGATAGGAAGACCTGACAGACGTTAAATCCTTTGTCACTTCGAGGTGCAAAAGCCTGGATGGAATGGGGGGGGGTGTATAGAAAGACCTGACAGATGTATATCCTTTGTCTCCGTGGAAAGCCTGGATGAGGAGGGGGGGTGGGTGTCAGAGTGGGGGGGCTTGGAATAGGATTTGACAGATATAAATCCTTTGTCTCTGCTCAGTGCAAAAGCCTGGACTGGGAGGAGGGGTGGGAAGGAGGACCTGACCGAGGTAAAATCCTTTGTCTCTGCGGTGCAAAAGCCTCATGGGGTGGGGTACACGGGAAGACCTAATAAGATGTATGTCCTTTGTCTCTGCTTGGTGCAAAATCCTGAATGGGGAGGGTGAGATGGGGGGGGGAGGGCACAAATGTATACTTAACAGACCTGTATTGTTTCCGCATGGTATCAAAGCCTAAATTAGGGTGGAGTTAGACGGGTGTGAGGACATAGGAAGATCTGGACAGATCCATTGTGTCTTTGTGGTGCACAAACCTGGATGGGGGGGGGGTGATGGTGAGATAAGAGGCACAATGCAAAAGCCTAGATGGAAGGAGGGGGCAAAACGGGGTGGCACCCGACTGGTGAATATCCTTTGTCTCTGCGCAGTGCAAAAACCTGGACGGGTGGTTGGAGGTGGGGCGCTGTCTTTCAAGGATGACGTCCTGTCTCCACACACCCGCCCTTCCCTCTCCCCCACCCCCCTACCTGGGAGAGGATCTTGTGCAGGAGTACAGTAGCTAATGTAGGGCTTTAAGGCTTGCAAAGCCCTTAGACATGATTCATTTGATCTTTACGTGTTGGACCTCTTTGACAGCCCGGTGAATCTTAGGGATCCCTTCTCCGAATCGTGTTGTTAAACACTAGAAGAAGCAGGCACGTCAATTAATGCAATAAATTATAATTATACTTTGAAATAAAAACGTTCGCACCCTGCCGTCTCTATTTTCTTTGCCTTATAGATAAAAAAAAAAAAAGTGTACTAGAGCAATTGACACAGCTTGGTCCTTTGGTTATTCTTCAATTATTATTTATTATTCCTCAATTCTGGTCCATCTGTAGTATTAAGTAATTGAAGGAAATAGCTAAATTTCAGTTAGAGGTTAGTGGAAATAAAGATGTGATTTTTTTTTTCTCCCATCAAAATTCAGAGACCCTCTGAAATCTATCCGTAGACTCTAGGTCTGGGATCTAATCCTAATACCCTGCTCTCAGCTTGTGTCATTTTTGGGAAAATGGGCCACTACGCAGCAAAAAAGACTAAAGCCACCATCCCCAGCCCCCCATTCACAACCATGTTCTTATCTTTCCCAGGGCTATTCCTTACATAAGCAAGCATCGGCAGGTCAGGGTGCAGCATCTGGGGGACTTACTGAACCAGAAAAACTTCGACCTCGCCCTGTTGCAGGAGGTAGGAGTGCGAGGTGGTTGAAGGGAAGGGGTCAGGGAACCTGAGGGTCTGGGGAAAACTGCCCTATGCTAGAGGCCATCTTGTGCAGCTGCAGCTGTCATCCTGTCATCCTCAGGTGTGGAGTGAACGGGACTTTGAATCGCTGAGACAGAAACTGCTGCCCAACTACACTTGGGCCCACTATTTCCGAAGGTGAGAAGCCCCCAGGGATCTTCCGAGTTCACCATATCTTTCCTGCCCCCTTTTCTCCCATCCTCACAGCTTGGTGTGGGAGGGAGTAGAGGGAAAGGAACAGGAGAGTGTTCTCTACTCTGGCTCATCTTTGCTATCTTATCACCACCTCTGTTTTTCCTCCACCCCCAAACACAGATCATGGCCTTGAGCTTTGTCCAAGGGGTGTGATAGGCATAATATTCTAGTACTAGAGGGAGAAAGGGGTGGGAACGGGAGTGGAGCCCCCTCTCCTTGGCCACTAAGCAGGATCTGGCTTTCAGCGGATTCATCGGTAGCGGCCTCTGTGTCTTCTCCAAACACCCAATCCAGGAAGTCTTCCAGCATACGTACAGCCTCAATGGCTATCCCTACAAGGTAAGCCTTTTTTCTGATCGCTGCACCTCTACCTTTCCTTTGCACTTTTCCCACGTTTGGGTGCTTGCAGGGAAGCTGAGATAATTTTTGTGGGCCTGGACAAGCTCCTTATATTACTTCTACACCATATTTTGCTCCCCCCTGTAGGGGCCAACGGGATATAAAGAATAGGCTGTCTTAAATTGGTGGGGGGAGGGAGGGAGGGGAAGGTGAATCTATGTCCTGGATTTAATTATCCTAATTTTTTAATAATGGGAACTGTTCTTACATTTTTGTATTTTCTTGTTTGCCTCTTGGTGGGAGGGGATAAAAGTTGATTATCTAGTTATTTGAGTACATCTAACTGTGGAGAGAGTAAGTACCACAAGTGCCACTCCTGGTTGGCTGAGAGAGAACTTAGGACTGGAAGAAAGGATCAACATCCTTGGTCCAGAGAGCACAGGTGTATCATTTGAAAATGCCACTAGGAAGAAGTAATTGTGGGCAGTATCAGAAGGGGCAGTTTACTTAGGGATCCAGGGGACCTCACAGAAAAGTTTAATAAAGAATAAAATCAGCCTGTTATAACATAGTGGGGTGCTGGTTGGAGACTCATTTACAAGGACTGGGTTCAGATGTGGGCTCTTCCCTTACGGTTACCCTGTGTGATCCTTCTTTCACCCTGAGTTCTCTACTTTATAAAATGAGACTAAATTGTTTCTATGGTAAGGAACCACAGAGCAGGAACCCTGAAACCATAGGGACAAGCCCTGTGAAATCTATCTATGGACTCCAGGTTTGAGGTCTATCCCCAATACCCTGTGCTCAGCTTGTGTCATTTTGGGGAAAATGGGACTGGTTCTGAGATGAAGCTGAGTATTGGGTAGGGAGCAACACTGCATTTTAAATTACCCTCCTCCTTCCAGATACATCATGGAGACTGGTTCTGTGGGAAAGCTGCTGGCATGCTGGTGCTGGAGATCTGTGGGATATTGGTCAATGTCTATGTGACTCATGTGAGTAACAACCCCAGAGCAGGGCAGGGCAAGGCAAGGCCAACAATGAAATGAAATGACTGGTTCCCAGATGCTGTTCCCAGTTCTATGTAGTAGGTTCTGCAATAGAACCTCCCGGGAGGAAAGGATCCCACAGGTTTCTTAGAAGCTTGTGGGGAGAAGGGTTCTAGCCACATATTTTCCTGTATTTCCTACCCTCCCAAGAGGACATAGAATAGCTAGACATGGTCTGTCACTCTCTCTCTCTCTCTCTTTCTCTCTCTCTCTCTTTCTCTTTCTCTCTCTGGCCCTCAGCTCCACGCTGAGTACAATCGAGAACATGACTACTACCTTGCCCATCGTGTGGCCCAGGCCTGGGAACTGGCTCAGTTCATCCAGTGTGTGAGCTGTGGTACTTGGACTGAGCAGGATAGAGAAAGCAAGGGTGGAGCATAGAGGGGGTTGGGCTAATGGGCTTGCTTGCACCCTGAGTTGGGGGGATGGGGAGTCCCAGGGAGTGGTAATTTTTGGACTCGATTAAGCTCTCACCCATGTGTCCCTGAGTCTAGAACCTGAGAAGGCTGAAGCATGTTTGGGGGCTCTGAGCTGTAAGGGAGAGAAGTGGAGAGAAGTTCCTCCTTCTCACCATGCTCGGGTTCTCCTAGCCATACTTCCAGAAGAGCCGATATGGTTCTGTTGTGTGGGGACCTCAACTCACACCCAGGAGACATAGGCTACCGTCTCATAAAGGAGTGGATAGGTCTGGAAGATTCCTACCTTGAGACCCAAGACTTCCAGGTAAGTACTTTGTCCTGATTTTCACTCTCTTCTTGATTCCAAATCCTTTTTCTGACCATACCCTGCTGTCTTATGTGTTGTACTCCTCATTCCTCCCCACACTGAGCCAGCTGCATCCTCTAGATCATAAGCACTGAACACATTATTTCTCTAGGGCTGTGAGGATGGCAGCACCATGGTTCCCAACAACTGCTTTGTGAACCCTCGAGAGATGGAGCATTTTCCCAGAGGAGTCCGCATTGACTACATCCTCTTCAAGGTCAGGCCTCCCTTCTGCCACCAGCATTCTCCAAGGCCTCCATCATCCTCAGATTTCTCACCACCCTTCAGATTGCCCATTTGTCCTCTGTCTTGTCTGTTATCTGGGGTCTGAAGGGGCACCAACTTGCAAGTGAATGGATTTGTTGGGGGATTTTGAGTGGTTTAACTCTGGCTTTTATTTTCTAGGCTATTTCTGGGTTCCGCATCACTTGTGAAACCCTTACAACCACTACAGGCAACATCTCTGATGATGCAACTGGCCGCAGCATTCCCCTCTCTGATCATGAGGCACTGATGGCCACACTGGCTATAAGGCCTGCTCCCATCGAGCAGAATCGTGACTCGACACGTGGTGAGTCACTCCTATCCCTTTTGGGTTTTCCGTTCCCGCTGTGACACATCTCTAGACCAAAGATTTACCTCCCTCCCTCTCCCTCCCTGTACCTCTGACTGATGTCCACTTTATTTCAGATGCAGAAACACAGGCATCATTGATGGGCGTGCTGCACGAGGCATGGACAGAAATGGGGCTGGGCCTGGCTGGAGCCCGTCAGTGGGTTTACTCTACTGGTCACCTGTTTAGCCTGGGGCTGTTGCTGTTGTTTCTGGGAGTGGGGTCTATGTTGTTTGAAGAAATACCCTGGGTGGCTGAGGCCCTCTTCATGATTCTTGGAGCAATAGTGCTTCTAGGGTCAGGTGGGCTGTATCTTACATCTCTTCATGAAAGTAAGGCCTTGTATGAGGCCCAGGCTGAGATAGAGTTGGCTATGGAGATGGCTAAAGAGGTTCAGCCTGAAGCCGTGGAGCTCAGCTCCACTTCTTCCCTTCTACGTACCTCCATACAGTCAGAATCAAAATAAAACAATAAAGAGTTATTATCTGCACTTTTGGCTCTCCCTTTTTATTGGAGGTGGGAGGAGGGTAAAGTGGGAGCCTCTTTCTATAAGCCCATGTCCTACCCCAAGCAGAACACTGCAGCCAGTATGAATCCTGTGTCCAATGGACCTTTTTTTTATTGTTGACATCGGGTTGGGTATCCTGCGGGGCCCACTTGAGCACGGCCAGCGCCATGGAATCCAGAGCTGGGCACAGCTAAGCTGCATGCAGGAGCCCAGGTGGCGCCTTGGGGAAGTCTGGCAGTGAAGGCAGTGGCAAGCACCCCCCTCAGCCTTGGTCCCCAGCCCCCTGCACCATCTCACTAAGCCGACGCTCTTCACGGAAGCGAATCAGGGCATCTCTCCGTTTCACCACGTCCAGCAGCTGCTTCAACATCTGTTCTTCAGCCTGCTTCTCCTTGGCTGTCTTCAGGGTCTCTGAAGGAAGCAAAGGAGGTCTTAACAGAAGGCTGGTGTGAATCACTGCCACCCTCACGATCAGGGCTCCTTCGTCCACCAGAAAGGAGCAGCTGACTCGGGATGCCTCCCTCCCCTCTCCTCACCTTCCCTGTCCATATAGCCTCTCAGCTCCTGGTCCAGCTGCCACTGCTCCTCTTCCAGGCCCAGCTCCTGGACCCTGTATGGAGGTTGAGAGAGAGGAAGAGAAAGCACTACAGATGCACAAACTGCTTGGGACAGAGCCAGAGCCCCAGAGCCCACCAGTGTCTCTGTGCTTACGTGATCATGAGATCAGCTTCCTCTGCCACCAAACTGTTCTTTTTTTGAATGAGGTCAAGTAGTTTTTCTACCCATAGTTTCTCCTGTTCTGAAGAGCCTATTTTATGAATGGGGGGGGGGGGGTTAGCAGACATGGAGAATAGTGGGAAATGACAAAAAACAAAATTATCTCAGGAGAAACAGCCTGGGCTGTGAGGTGCAGAGCTCATTTGGAGACAGGGCTTGCCTGGAAGGGGCAGGCAGAGGATGCAGTAAATACTCCATGGGTCCCCCTCCCCTCCCCTCCCCTGGCTTCCACTCACAGTTCTGGCTCCTCAAAGCTAACTCCAGCCTCTTGCCCTCTGCCTCCAGTTCTCGAAGTGAAGCTTCAATCTCATCAAGACGCCGCTGAATAGCCTAACATGAAAGACGCAGGAAAGTCAGGCTAAGCTCCAAAGAATGGGGTAGGAATTGGTTCTATTCTTGTTCCCTCTCCTCCCCCATTTCTTTCAGGGCCTTGAGCCCTCTTTCTCAGGACCCTGTATCCCCATGCATCTCCTTTGTCCCATGTAGGTCTCACTTGGGCCTTGCAGAATCTTTTCATCTCTTCCTCTTTGGCTCTGCGAAGCAACGTCCGCCGCCATGTTGGGTACTTCTCCATGGTGCCCGAATTCTTGGCAAAGTTCAATAGGGTCTGTGACAGGACCAAGCAGTCAGGAATGGGGCCAGGGGCAGACCTGGGATCTATGCCAGGTATCCCTAGTGAATGGGTTCTTAAAAGGGGCTAAGGGAAGAGGAGGACAGTGTTTGGAATGGTGAGGGTATAAGATCTGGACTGGACCTTGGGAAGGGGAAGAGGGAGAAATTTTGTATTAGGGCTTGATAGGGAAATCTGAGGGTTGAAAGGAGTAAAAAAAAATTCTATCTCCACTGAGATGGTCAGTTCCTTGAGGAGTGAAACCATGCCTCATTCTTTTTCTTTTTTTTTTTCAGGGCATTTGGGGTTAAGTGACTTGCCCAGAGTCACACAGCTATTAAGTGTTATGTGTTTGAGGCCACATTTGAACTCAAGTCCTTCTGACTCCAGGGCCAGTGCTCTATCCACTGCGCCACCTAGCTGTCCTTCCTCATTATTTTCTTATTGATATGTCACAGAGGCTCTGGGTCTAGGGGATAGAAAGCCAGCCTCGAAATCAGGAAGACCTGGGTTCAAGTCCTGCTTCTGACACATACTGGCTATGTGACCCTGGACAGGTTACCTAACTTCCTCATTCCCCACTAACTTTCTAGGACTCAAAACTTCAAAGAAGATGCCAATATGTATCAGTAGTGGAAGTCCCTACATTGATGAAGTCAGTCTCATTCCCACGTCACAAGGCTAGGCACTTCCTAGTCCTATCACTATTCTTCACTCACCTGTTCTACATCGGAGGTTAAAACCAGGTCTTCTTCCTCTCCTTCCTCTTCCTCACTAGAGGAGGGACCCTCATCTTCCTCTTCCTCCACATTTGAAGCAACTGAGCTCAGGAGCTCTGCACAGGGGAAAGACAGATGAGGCCTGAGAACTTTACTTTTAACGCCACCCCAAAGCTTCCCTTTTAGGCATTCCAGCCCTGCCCCACTGTGGTTGGCCGGGTACCTGGCGGGGGAGAAAGCAAGGTTTGTGGTAACCTCTGGACAGGCACTCCCCAGCCTGCAAAGCTGCCCTCTAGGGCCTGGCGGGCCAAAGCAGAACAGCTTCGGGGAGGTTTGGGGGGTCCCTCCATCTCGGCATCTGGGTTGAAATTAAGTGATGATAGCGACCGACGTTCAGGGCTGGAGAGTCTGATCAGTTTTCTTGAAGGCGGCTTGGGAGGACCTTCCATCTCTGGAGGAGCTGGGGGTGTCCTGGGGGACACTGCCTCGGCCTCTTTTTCTTCATTCTTGCTGGGGGGCTCCTGGAAGAGCCAAGATGCATAGCTGTTGACTTGAGATTGGCCTCTCACTCTGTACAAGCAATAACCTGACCCTCAACATTGACCCCAGGGACCCTAGGATAGATAATCTACTGGAAACTTCATATAGTCACCACTTAATAAAATTCATCAAAATGCTATCCACCTTCAGAGAGAGAACTGATGAAACTATGAATGCAGGTTGAAGCATACTTTTTTACTTTATTTTTCTTGAGTTTTTTTGGTCTGTGTTGTCTTTTGCAACATGGTTAATATGTAAATATGTTTTGCATGACCACATGTGCAATTGATATAAAATTGCCTTCTGAAGGAGGGGGGAAAGGTAGGAGGAGGGAGAGAATTTGGAACTCAAAATTTAAAAAAATGAATGTTAAAATTTTTCATTACATGGAATTGGCAAATATTTAAAACGAAATAAAAATATGTTGGGGAAAAAAATAAACATTCGTCCATTCATTCAAAACCATCCCCTGCCCTAAGGCACCTGCCACTCTTACCTGGTCTTTGGGGGCTCCATCACAGACACTTAGGCTGGCAGATTGAGGGAAGTGTAAGAGGCAGTAGAAGTGGCCTGAGGATGAGAAAGGGTGTGGAGTGTGACCTGACAGAAGTCTGGATCTGTCAGTCCAGTTCCTCACCATTCCCATGGGGTCAGGGACCCACAGGCCCCCAAACTTGGGAGTCTTAGTAGGCAGTGGACAGAAAGTACTGAGAAAAAAAATGAGATGGAAACAGTGTTGACTTAGCTCATCATTGAGAAGATTCCACTTTCTGAACTTGTTTCTCCAAATAAGAAACAGAGAATGCTGACCTACTGCCCCAGTTCCTCCATCTCCCTGGCAATGCCCTCACCATCCCCGGCGTGCTGCCGGTAGCCTTCTGGCCACAGTGGGGCCTCACAGCTGTGGCATTGGAAGCAGCGGCGGTGGAAGAAGCGGCCATCAGCGCAGATTCGCTCCAGGATGTACAGGCGCTCCCCACACAATGAGCACAAGTCACCGGCCTCTGCCTACCTCCCAAGGAAGCAATAAGAAGAAACAGAAGATGAAGAGTGGTGGATTCAGACCCAGCCCTGAGACTCTCCTAGAAACTGGTTCTTCCCACACCTTCCCTCTGACCCTCCCCTCCCACCCCCCACCCTACTTCAGGCTTTTATCTAGGCCCCAGTTACATTTGCTACTGGTTCTGTTCTTGCTCAGTTGTGTCTGACTCTTTGTGACCTCATTTGAGATTTCCTTGGCAAAGAAACTGGAGTGGTTTGCCATTTCCTTCTTCAGCTCATTTTACAGGTAAGGAAACTGAGGCAAAATAGAGTTGTGACTTGCCCAGGGTGACACAGATAGTACGTGTTGGAGGCTGGATTTGAACTCAGGAAGATGAGTCTTCCTGACCCCAGGCCTGGTGCTCTATCCACTGTGCCACACAGCTGCCCCATTAGGTCTGTACAGTATACATTATTCACTTTGGGGCCACTACAGATGTTCCTTAACTTTCAAACCTCAGTGCTCACCTCTTGGTCTGCTGGCAGAGGATTCTGTGGAGTTACTGGCTTCAGGAGGGTGGGTTCAGTAGGACTTGGCATCTTGGACTCAGACTAAAAGACCATTCAGACATTAGGGGTGAAAGGGAGGGTGGACTGGGCATGAGAGGAGTGAGGGGATAGTGAACAGAAAGGATAAGGTTAAAAGAAGAAAGATGAGAAAGGGGAGGAGGTAGCTCATTGCCCTGGTCCAACGCTTACCTCTAGACGAGGCTTCTTGCCACCACTATCCTCGCCATTCTCCTGGAAAAATCAACAACTGGCTTAGGACTGGCTTTTACCTTTCTCCATTCCCAGCGCCTTTTGTCCCTTTATCTTCCCCCTGTCCTAAACAACCCTACCCAAACATGCAACCTTGGGAAGGTCATTTTTCTTCTCTGCCTCAGTTCCCCATTTATAAAAGAGAGGTTTGGTTTGCACGATCTGTAAGGTTCTAACCACTTCGGCTATCACCGTCTATGTTCCTTATTACAGGGAACCCTTGATAGGAGCTAGGGGCAGAGGGCAACTGTATGTGGCCCCAATCCCTTTCAATTCTGCTCTACCCTAACACCGGAGATGCTTCCATAATCCCAACCTGGGAACGGTTCCTCTGCAGCGTCCTCTGCAGTTTGCTAAGGAACAGGACAGCGCTGGCAGTCCCGGTAGACAGGGGGCCGACAGGACCTGAGGAGAAAGAGAGACACTGCGGCCGCTGGCAAAGAGAACCTACATGCTCCATCCCAGCCTGGACCTTCCACCTTGGTCCCTGAAATGGTCTGGAAAAGGATTCACTCCTAATAATGTGCCACAACTTTCCTCTCTAGGGTCCTCAGGAAGCATTTAAAATATTTCTTTAGGGGCAGCTAGGTGGCATAGTGGATAGAGCACCAGCCCTGGAATCAGGAGGACCTGAATTCAAATCTTGCCTCAGACGCATGATACTAGCTGTGTGACCCTGGGCAAGTCACTTAACCCCAAATGCCTCGTAAAAATAAATAAATAGATAGATAGATAGATAGATAGATAGATAGAGAGAGAGAGAGATAGAGAGATAGACAGACAGACAGATAGATAAATGAAATATTTCTTTACAAGGGCAGCTAGGTGGCACAGTGGATAGAGAGTGCTAGGCCTGAAGTCAAGAAGACTCATCATCATCCCAGGGTGGTTGTGAGGATCCAGTAAGATAACAGAAGTAAAGTGTTTTGTAAACCTTAAAGCACTATAGAAATGCTAACTGCTATCATCATCATCATCATCATCATCATCAGTTCTACCAGGCTTGTGTGAAAGCATTATTTGGTGGCTTAGAGGTTGGTGACACCAACTTATATATGAATGGTAACTTAAGGGTTACAAAGAGCTATGCAAGAAAAATTACCCCCATTTTACAGATAAAGAAATTGAGGTTCAGCAGGGATAAAATGGCCTGACTGATCATTCCCATGACCACAGGCCCTGCAGAGGTACCTGGGCTATTTGGAGTCCTTCCGAAGGCACTGTAGAAGTGAGTGAGGTAGGCAATAAGGCCCAATGGATCAGTCCCAGACACCAGCACCTGTGGAGGGATCACCGGTGCAATGCCCAATTCTTGTTCAGCCAGCTTTACTGCCAAGGCTGTGGTCTCCAGAGCTCCAGCCCCTTGTAGGGTTGAGAAGTCACTACGGACAAGAGTAAAAGAGAAGGAAGAAATAATAAGGGAATGGAACCATCAAGGCACACAGGGGACAAGGGAAGGAAGAGGAAAAGGGTTATAGGAAGGCAATGATGGGCTGTGGGGCTGGGGGAGGGAAGCATCAACAAAGAGTAGGAAGGGAAGGGCAGGGGATTAGCAGAGGAAGTCTCATCTCCCATTCGACAGGCCTCAACTGAGTTACAGACATTGACTCCAGGCAATTAAATAATTTAATTGATTAATTAAACAGAATAGGACAGGGGGCACAAAGGGACCTAAGTAAGAGGGATCTCAATTATCAAACAAAACCACCAATCATCCCCTTCCCCAGGAGTTCACAGCAACTACTACCAAATTCCTCTCCACATCTTATTCCCCCATGACAGCCCTCACCCTATCACTCACAGCAGACTGGGTCGGAACCGGTGCACCAAAGCGCAAAGTGCCCGACCATCGGCCCAAGAGGATGAGAAATCTGTGACCTGAACACCTGGATATCCAGCCGTCTGCTTCTGGCACCAAAGGAGCAGTTCCTCTTGGGTGCCCACCAGTCCTAGAAGGAAGGGGGAAGGTCATCTGTGCTCCTGGAAATCACACCCAACAAGGCTCTACAGGGTCCTAGCACCAGGGACCATTGGCACTGCTCTGAGCATAGGGTAGGCAGCAAATGGGCAAAGGACACCTAACATCACCACCATCATCACTCATGTTTGTGCAGCACTTTGTTTTACAAATGCTCTCTTACATGAGGTCTTGTTTCCCAGTTTACAGATGACAAAACTGAGGTACAGAGTAGGTAAGTGATGCTCATAGTCATACCTAGGCAGCCAGCTGCTATGGTGGAGAGATCGCTGAACTTGGAGATGGGAGGACCTGAATCCTCAGACACTTACTAGCTGGGTGACCCTGGATTAAGACCCTTAATGTCTCCAAGCCTGAGTTCCTCATCTGTAAGGTGGGGATAATAACAGCACCTATTTCACTGGGTTGCTATCAATATCAAACAAGATTATGTACATTGACTTGCAAACTCTAAATTGCCATATAAATGCTAGCTACCATTGTCATCATCATTATTTTTCACAAATCTAATAAAGTAGCACAGATTAGACTTAAAATCAGGTCCTCTGACTCCAAATTCACTGATATTTTAATTCTACCACACAGTCTCTTTTCAATAACATTATTAGCAATGGTAAGCATTGCTAGTGGGTCAGCGGGCAATCTTCCCTGAGGCAGGCTAAGGACCCACCTCATAGGGATCATGGACCACTTTCCTGACATCACAGGAACCAGGGTATCAGAAGGGCAAGGATCTCCATCCATCTGAACTGTCTTTGCCATCAGGACTCTCTAAGACTCTGACCACTGGTGGTAGGGGGAGAAGAGGGATAGGGAAGACTTAACTCAGAGTCCTATCAAGGGCAATTGCTGATTTGGCTGGGCACATAGGGCATCAGGATGTAGAAAGAAAAGGAATCAGGGAAGGTGGCTTGAAGAAGGAAAGGGATTTTTAAAAAATTTTTAATTTTTACTAATATATATATAATATATATATATATATATATATATGGAGAGAGAGAGAGAGAGAGAGAGAGAGAGAGAGAAAGGGGGGAGAGCGGTAGTTTCTTAAGAGAGGCAGGGCAAGGAATGGTATCCGGACCACAGTGTTTCGTAGGGCCACTAACTACTCTTCAGGATAGGGGTACATCACACAGGGGTCGAGGTAGGGGTGAAGTACTTGGCATTAGAGATAGACAAGAGAGGGCAGGGCCCACTCACCAGGGGCAGGGGGCTTTGGAGAATCAGCCTTGCCATTCTTCTTCTGCTCCAGTTCCTTGCCCCCTGTGTCATAAAGATCTCGTACCTAGAATTGGACCCTGCTAATTTTAGATTATTTAAACGATCCTCCTTCCCCCCAGCAACCCAGGTCAACCTAAATCCCTTTCTGTCCACAGCTCAGCCCACCATGAACTCAAACTCATCCGTACTGGGGGACCAACGGGGCAGGTGATAGATAGGAAGGGCAGGAGGATGACTGACCTGTTGGGGAGTCACAGAGCGGAGGTTCAAGTTGGGATATCGAGAAGCTGGGTCTAGGGTATACTGGGCTATATTGCGATGCATGTTTTCAGGGGAGGTCTGTGATAAGAGCTGGTACAAGCTCTCCCTGGGGGGAAGAAAGGGATGAGGGGTGGTAAGCAGCAGAATGATGAGTATGGAGGAGGTTGGTGAGTTTCCATCATCATGGAGAGCCCATCACCATTGCTCCCTCCCTACCAGTCTCCATTCATTGAAAACCCCACTCCCATTGCCTCTACTCTACAATCTCTACCCCTTCATCAGTCTCTCACAACCTTTCCATTTCCCTCCACCCCCACAGTATTCCTTGGCCCCATGCTCACCTCTCTGCCAGAACATGCAGGGGCTGAGCACCCCCTGCCCACTGCTTCACCATCCAGGCTGCATCAAAGGCTGCTAAGAAGCCACGGGCCACACCAGTGCCCAAGGGCCAAAAGGGCTGGAGGAACATCGAAGCAATAAGAAACAACAAAGCACACAGTGGGTAGGGGGCATTCATTCCCTCCATGTTCCCACCATCTGCTCCGGTTCATGTTTAAAGAGTTACAAATCCCATGTTTAAAGAGTTACAAAGCAAAGAGTTACAACAACAAGAGAGAGAATGTTCTCCCCTCTCCCCTCCTTCTTGCCTACCCCATAATCACCAGGCAGCCCTCCCACTGCCCCCTCACCTCTCCCAGGCAGCCCTCCCACTGCCCCCTCACCTCCCCCAGGCAACCCTGCCACTGTCCCCTCACCTCCCCCAGGCAGCCCTGCCTGCCACTGTCCCCTCACCTCCACCAGGCAGTCGCCCACTAGCTCCAGCAGCACTCGGGCCCCGTGTTTCTCTTGTACCCGTGCGGCGCTCTCTGCCCTTGTCATGCTTGTGAAGTCGAAGGCAGCAACGTCTGGCCGGCCACGGGCATCACAGGCAAACTCCAGGTTGCCAAGTTTGCCGTGGGTGGCAAAGTCAGCAGCAGCCCGGGCAAAGCGGTGCAGGGCTTCTGGTACTATGTTGTCGCGGCCCAGGAGCTGCTCTGTATTTACAAAGTCCTGAAGGCCACCAAGGACAGAATCAAAGACCCAGAAAATCAGCGAGAAAGTTGGAGTTGGGAGGAATCTTAGAAGTCACCTTAGCCAGTATGCTCATTCGGCACAGATGGAAATGAATGAGGGTCCAGAGACTTGAAGGGAGCTGTCTGAGACCACACCACCAGAGAGGCAGAGCTCAGATTTGAACCCACTTGTCTGTCTCCCAGTCTTGGGCTCTTTCCATGACATCAGGGGCTGTGCTGGGGGGACCCCTGCTTCCTGCACATTTGCTGTCCAACCTCAGGACCCCAAAGGGACCACTGTCACCTACTAAAAATCAAGCATGGGCATTTGCCATGGAAGTGGGGTGGGAAACCACTGTGAAAGACTGTTGAACACTGTCCAATCAGAAGCAGCTAGGTAGGCTTAAAGTTAAGAAGACCTGCCTCAGATACTTCCTGGTCATGTGGGCAAACCCTTTTACCTTTCTCAGCCTCAGTTTCATTGTTTGTGAAATGGGCATAATAACAACACACACACACACACACACACACACCCATCCCCAAGGTTGTTGAGACGATTAAATGAGATAATATCTCTCATGCAAAGTATTTTGCAAACATTCAAGTGCTATATAAATGTTAGCTGTTATTACAGTGAAGTACATCTCTGTTTTGGGGAAAGAAGCAAGGGTGGGGAGGGTGGGAGAAGAGAATGGAACAAGAAATTTTTAAATGTCTCCTATATGAC